TACCAGTAGCCCAAAATTAATTTGACGGGCAGCGATCAGAATTAGAACGCATACCACTATTGTTGAATTTAGTATTCACCAGCTCAGGTGGATTCAACAGATATTTCACACGGTTGTGATTTGCGTTCGCGCGTTTCTTCCTGTGTTTCGTGTTTTGTCAACGCTCGAATGAAAGATTTGTATACTTTGTATAAACAAATACATAGATATCGGGCGGGAATCTGCTTAACGCTTTATTTACCGGAATATTGTTAATCCTCTTACCACGAGTTTTTGATTTTTCAGTAGGAAATTACGGGCTAGTCTTATTTGTTATGCAGATGCGCCTTAAAAATTAGATTAAAAAGAATAGTAAATTTAAAAAATTCATTTTTATAATTTTAGACTATGCCATATGTGAATAAATTCGACAATTTTCTTGTAAATAATTATTTTAGAAACAACTGTTTTTTACACAATATTAATGCAAATAATTTATTAAATTATAAATGAGATTGCTTTCGCTTTTAAGGAATTTTTAAGAAAGTTAGACCTATTGATAGAATTCATTATTACAACGTTAGTATTAGGGTTAACACATTTTATCTATTTATTTATGATGTGATCGAATAAACTATAGAATCATTAGCGATCATGTATTTTAGAGAGTTAACATGGATGCTATATAAAAACGTTAATAAAGGTTGAACATAAATTGATATACATTTTGTGAAAAGAAGAGGATGTCGTCGTTATAACTCTTCAAATATTTTATAAATTTGAAGTAAAGAAGACAGATTTTTATGTAATCACTACACTAATAAAAATTGTCTACATTTATTGCATGAATCAGGAGTCACTGCGGAACAGTTTCCTTTCTTTAATAATTATAGTAGGCTGAGAGTGATGCATCGATGTTCTTTGATTGTTCTAGTGTGTCCACTATCTGAAATTACTGCCATTCATTTTCGTTATAAAAGCATAAAATCCGCAGACCAATAATTGCAATTTTAGATTCATCGTAAAAAATGGCATTTAAATATCTATTTGCATATATATTGTGAGTAACTTTTGTATCACATAATACAAAAAACCGTGCTTTAAGTGTTTTTCTAATATTCGTTAAAAAATTCGCCCATATAACATAATATCATGTTTATGAAGACAGTTCTTGAATCAAACAGTGATAACTGTCGTAATAACTAGTCTGCGGATCTCATGCATTTATGACAAAAATGTATAGGTCAAATACAAAATTAGAAAGACATTAAAAGAATTTAAGAATATTGTTACATTATTTTCAACTTAATACGATTGTTAAAAGAGAAAAAACACTATCATCTAATTTCCTACAATTAACTTGCAAGGGATGATTCCCAATCCAGAAATTTAAAAAATTCTGAGACTTTGAGGATACAATACAGCATACGTAGATACGTATCATACAATTTTTTTTCTTACGTAAATTAACCCCTAAATGTTGGGCTATTTTTTATTTTATTGATATAATTCGCAAACGGTGTTAGATAGGAAATAAGTCTTCAAACAAAAGTTACTTCTTTCCTCCAAATATATCATGTAGTGTATACGACTTGTTAATTGTTTAAATAATTGGAAAAAATTCTAAACAAATAATCGACATTTTTGTCACTTTTTAAAGAGGTTCAAACAGAAAAAAATAACTTTTGTTCGAAGACTCTTTTCCATCTTCTACAGTTTGAGAATTATAGTATAATAATAAAATGAAAAATAGCTGAATATTTGGGGATTAATTTCCACCCCTTAAAGTGAATTTACGCAAGAAATGATAACACACACACACACACACACACACACACACCACCACACCACACCCTACAGTACCAGAAGTTTTTGAATTTCCGGATTGGGGATCATCCCTTGTTAGATAATTTTTATTTCGAATAAAGATCCGCAGTCTAATAACAACTCTACAAACATGTTACAAAACAATCGATTCTTTCGCTAGATAACGAAATTAGAAGAAAATTATCAAACGAGTCGGAAGAGAATTTCTGCGTAAGGTATGAAACAAAGTTACGAATACACCATAGCCGGCAACGTTCCGCGAATACAGTTAATCAACGAGCTTTGTGCAATTAACAAACAGCTGTACCGTTGTAGTCGATCGCATCCTAAACGGAGAACAACGAACAATGCTACAATGTGAGCGGAATGCTCGTGAAGGGGAAACGATTTTCTTTTGTGCTGCAGCTAATTTAGGGTAGTCTCAAGCATACTTCAACGAGCAAACGATTGCGAGTGTTACAATTGTTCTCCCGTGTTTGAATCCACAACGGTTCCAAGGAAGTACAAATTTCGATGTGCAGATTCAAAACAACGATATGTTCCTTGTTTCACAGCAGATATACATCGCGTATGCGATTCATTGATCCTCCATTGTTTCCCAAATATTTTCCGATCGAATACTGGATTATGAAAAAATTACAAATACATATGTATTCTTTTTCGTAAATCAAGCATCAGCTACGTGATTTTAACTATTTTAAACTGTCCTTCTTTCATTGAAACAATTAAAGATTATGTTTGTTTCTCTAAAAATCTTTTAAACATTAAGATGATTACACACGTTATCATGTTGATAGTAAAAAGATCGTAAAACATTATTTGTTTTATTCTTTCCGCATACTAAGCTTTTATGAAAAAATTTCTGGCTAAAAACTGTGGAAGTATTGCCCACAACTGGTTGGCAGTTTTACGTTTTACATTAACTATACGATGCTGATAGCGTCCGTGAAAAATTGAGATCTCTACGTTGTTGAACCGTAGACGTCCATTTTTATTGGTGGAACAGTACATGCATGAATAATAACGGCGAGAAATAACGCACGCACACACACACACACACACGTTCATGTAAAATATAATTTTATAAAGAATGTTATACAGAATTTTATAAAGTTATGCTGTTATAAAGAAGTTTATAAAATTTATTCGAACTCTCATTTCATTATAAATTTCGTTTATCTCTAAACAAGGTGAGCATTTACATATGTATTACACTTTCAAAAAATTCGTGCACCTATAAATTATTGGCATAACAGTCTATTTGTATTATAATCTCAGGGAAAATTTAAATAATAATCAAACGCCAAAAAATAAGAATATTTCATTGTTTTATAATGTATTATCAACGATAACAATTATTCAGATAATACTGTTTTTATTCTAGATAATACTGTTTGTAATAATTTTTATATTATTGA